CACAGAACCATGCATGCCCGATCCGTGTAGGAGCTGGACTGGACCCGACTAAGCATAAGGCCATTATTATCGACGAGACTAGCAGCAACCCTCTCCATAATCTCATATCACACGAGGACCCAATAATTGCTAACGCCGAGGATGATGTTATGTCGGACGGCGAACATGCGGTCCGGCGACAAGAACCTTGGCCGGAGGAACATCATACACATCGAGACCCCGGGGACAGGTCGGAGGAGATTGACCACCCTATGATCAACGAGGATGACAGTGGTGTTCGAGACTCAAGTCTCGCCTAACCACAGACAGATAATTTCCTTCGCTTTTGTTCCCCATAAAGATTATTTCTTGGAATGTTCAAGGAGCTGGTTCGCCTGCCTTTCGGGGGGCCTTCTCCACTATAGTTCGTCAGCATTATCCTGATATTGTAGCAATTCTTGAACCCCAGATCAGTGGGGCAGCTGCAGATGGCTTCGTGCGATATAGTAAGTTCGAGAACTCGCTACGAGTTGAGGCTCGGGGTTTTTCAGGCGGGATTTGGATATTATGGAGAGAGGAGGTGTTTATTGAGGTCCTTTATTTATCCCAATAGATTGTGCATGTTAGGGCCAGTAAAGATGGTGAATCCAGCATCGTCTCTTTTATCTACGCTAATCCTAACCCAACTCTTAGACGACGGCTATGGCCCGACTTGGAGAGACTTGCGAATTACACATCAGAACCATGGCTCGTGGGAGGAGATTTTAACTGCTTACTTCGTTCATCCGAGAAAATGGGGGGATCTCGACGGTCTTGTAATGTTAGTAAGGATTTTGCAGATTGGATGTTTTCCCATGACATACAAGAAGTGGCTACGGACGGACTCACCTACACATGGGTTCGTGATGGCCCTTCGGGAAGAATTATGGAGAAGCTAGATCGTTTTGTCGTGAGTACAGCATGGCTGGAGAGGTTTGAAGCCAGTCGGGTCCGTCTTCTTCCCCGCGTTCAATCTGACCACGCTACCCTATTAATCGAATTTGGCCGGTTAAGGGCCGAGGCACAAGGCGAGAAACCATTCCGTTTTTTAGCTTCATGGCTCCTTCATTCGGAATTTCCAGCCATGCTACAAGAAGTTTGGCAACCCACTCTCTCCTTTACTGAAGCTGCACACCAATTCGCGCGAACGACGAATGAATGGAATAGCACGGTTTTTGGCAACATTTTTAACCGGAAAAAGAGACTTCTCGCGCGCATCAATGGCATCCAGCGAAGCCGCTTTTACTACTACTCGGCCAAGCTCGTGACATTAGAAAAACAATTACGAGAGAAATTGGATGAAGTAATTCTCCAAGAGGAGTTGCTCCTCCTCCAAAAGTCCACGCGGGACTGGATGCACCTAGGGGACCGAAATACTTCCTATTACCATCGACAGCTCAAATTCCGTAGACGCCAGGGCCGTATCACGGAGTAAGTCAATGAGGCCGGTCACCGCATTACAGACCAACAGGAACTCCAACGCTTAGCCACGGATTTCTTCCACAACACATATACGGACGGGCAGCCCACGGAGGGCGATGGGTACGCCCAACTTTTTCCAACGCCGGGACGAAGAACGGATGCAAGCCATGACGAAAGAGATATCAGATGAGGAGATTTCTTTGGCTCTCCAGAGCATGGGATCGCTGAAGGCCCCGGGGATAGATGGATTGAACGCACTCTTCTTCAAGAAGAATTGGGCAACGGTGGGTCACTCAATACAGCAATTCATTCGCACCATGTGGGGCTCCGGCGAAGTACCCCCCAAGATAAACCAAACCTTGCTCTTTCTCATTCCCAAAGTCGAGAATGTCTCCTCCATTAAGCAATTTCGGCCTATTAGCCTCTTGAACGTTATCTATAAACTATTCACAAAGGTGTTGGTCAATCGAATGAAAGAGCCGCTGTTAGATTTAATCCACCCGGCACAGGCCAGCTTCGTCCCAGGCCGCCAAATCATCGACAATATTGTGGTAGCTCATGAACTAATTCACTCAATGCGCTACAAACAAGAGCGACGGTGGGACTTCATTGAGGAAACCCTGATCTTCGTCGGCTTCCCCAACGTGATGATTAAAGCCATTATGGCTTGTGTGCGGTCAGCCTCGATGCGCTTGCTATGGAATGGAACGCTTGGGGATGAATTTTTTCCTACCAGGGGCGTTCGGCAGGGCGATCCCATGTCACCGTATCTCTTCGTTTTGTGCATAGAGAGACTAGTGCAAATTATAGACCAAGCGGTGCACCGACATGCCTAGAAACCGATTTCTATTGGCAGAGGTGCGGTGTCGGTCCCTTTCCTGATGTTCGCTGACGATCTCCTCTTGTTCCTGGAAGCTTCGCATGAGCAAGTAGGAGTCCTAAACCACGTCCTTGAGCTCTTCAGTGACATGTCGGGCCTGAGGGTTAGCTCGGAGAAGACGCAAGTCTTCTTCTCTCGTAACATCGAGGTAACTGAACAAATTCGTTTGGCAGATAAGCTGCATTTCAAAAGAACCGACAACCTGGGAAAGTATCTTGGGATGCCAGTTACTCACGGCCGCGTCACCAAATCGACTTATGCTCACATTCTGGAGAAAGCAGAGGAGCGACTCGTTGGGTGGAGAATGAAATCTTTATCTTTGGCGGGGCGTGTCACGCTTACACAGTCAGTGATTAGCGCCCTGCCCTACTTCTCCATGCAAGCGGCTATGCTTTCTTGTTCGATCACAGAGGGCCTGGAACGCCGTAGCCGTGCTTTTGTATGGGGGGGCACGGCCGAGAAATGGAAAATCCATCTTGTCGTCTGGAAGGATGTGTGCAAACCCAAAGATGAGGGGGGCTTATGGATGAAGGCCTTACGTAAGATGAATAAAGCCCTTTTGATGAAACTTGGGTGGGGCATTCTCTCCAAGAGCAACGCTTTGTGGGCTCGAGTTCTTTCTGCGAAGTATGGGCTCGGACCCTCGGCCAGTTTGGAAAATTCACGATGCCGTAGGGGTTCGCCTTTGATGAGAGCTTTGTCCAAGATTTGGCCGGACACTATTAAAGAGACCAGATGGAGTGTCGGGAACGGAGAGACGGTGCGCTTTTGGTTAGATGCTTGGGTTGGCCCAATCGGCCCTCTTATTAACCATGCCTATCGACGACCACCAGATGAAACTATATACCTGAAAGTCGTGGATTATGTCGATAATCGGGGTGACTGGAAGTGGAACGAGTTCCATGGATTCCTCCCATCGGCCGTAATCATGAGAGTTGCCGGGATCTTACCACCGAGAGAAGCAGCCGGAGAGGACCGTCTTCTGTGGAGCGGAACTCATGATGGGCAATTTTCTACTCGTGCGACTTACGTGTCCCTAGCCCAGCCGATTAGTGATCCGGATAAGCCCCTATGGAAACTGATATGGCGCTCTAACGTACCGCAAAGGGTCCGATCCTTTTTGTGGCTGGTAGCACGGGACCGACTTCTGACCAATGTGGAAAGAGTCTGAAGGCATTATACGAGCTCAGTGGCATGTGACGAATGTGGTGAACCCGAGACCACGTTGCATGCATTGCGTGATTGCCCATCTACAAAAGCTTGTAGCGTAAGTTCCTCCCTCCAGATGCAGAAGTTGTTTTCTTTCAGTAGGAATTCCAAACATGGTTACAGTGGAATCTGGCTTCTGCTCCGCGGCTCATGCACAAAAATTGGCATAGTCAGTTCGCATTTGGGTTGTGGAATACTTGGCGATGGAGGAATGATAGAGTTTTCAATGGCAGGCGGCTCGATGTTGAGACCCGTTACCTGGACATTATCCGCAATGCATCGACGTATGAGAAGGCGGCCACAGCTTATGAAAAGGCGGGAGCGAGGACATACGATACACGCATGATCAAGTGGGACCCACCGGAAGTGGGCTGGGTCAAAGTCAATTCTGACGGGGCATTTAATCGTACCACCGGAATGTGTAGTGCAGGGGGCCTAATTCGGAATGAGCAAAGCACTTGGATTGACGGATTTGTTATGAATATTGGGATTGGCACTATCTCTGGGGCTGAGCTTTGGGGATTGTTTCAGGGCATACATCTGGCCTGGGAGTTAGGATTCCGGAAGGTTATTGCTGAAGTCGATAGCCAGTGCGTGCTACAAATGGTTACTGGACCTCGAACTCATTTTGGCGTCCACGAGGCCATAGTCAGAGCCATTAGGAGCTTGGCAGACCGAGATTGGAGCATTCGTTTTCAACATGTACATAGAGAAGCTAATTTTGCGGCTGATCATATGGCGACACTAGCGGCTACCTTCTCGTTAGGACTACAGAGAATTCCACTACCCCCAAGGGTTGATGGCATGGCTTGACCACGACGTCCGTGGAGTGGCTCATCCTCGCCGCGTTCTAGCATAATCGTTCTTAGGCCCCTGGCCTCCTTCTTTGTAAAAAAA